TCTACAGTCGTCATGTAGATCCATGCAGAGAGCTGGCTTCTACAGTCTTCATATAGATCCATGCAGAGAGCTGGCTTCCACAGTCATCATGTGGATCAGTGCAGACAGCTGGCTTCTACAGTCATTGTGTAGATCCATGCAGAGAGCTGGCTTCTCCAGTCATCATGTGGATCACTGCAGAGAGCTGGCTTCTACAGTCTTCATATAGATCCACGCAGAGAGCTGGCCCTACAGTCATCATATAGATCTATGCAGAGAGCTGGCTTCTACAGTCATTAATTAGAGACATGCAGAGAGCTGGCTTATATAGTCATCATGTAGATCAGACATTTTTTTCAGACTCGATGCACAGTAACATATATTTTACTTATCAACCAAGTATAAGCAGGTATGCACACAAAAACGTATATATAATTGAATCGAAAGTTTCACAAAATATTACTTACCTTTATAACATATGAAGAACTTTATTCTTTTTCTATTCTACTCCATTTAATTTTTTAAAATACTGTTTGCAGCTCAATTTATTTCTTGACCAACTAATGAGTTGCAACCTGCAGTATGAAAAACGCTAACCTAGATCAGTGGTTTTCAGACGTTATTGTGCATCAGAAGTGCCTGGAGAGCTTGTTAAAACACTAATTGTTAGGCTCACCCCCAGTTTCTGATTCCTTACATCTGGGAGGACCTGATAATTTACAGTTGTAATTAGTTCCCAGGTGAGATTGATTTTTCTGATCCAGGGACTATATTCTGAAAACCTGATCTAGGTGGTGTTAAAAGTCATGGGAGCCAGTGAATTTACTGAGGAGCAGTCTGTAGACAGTAGCAAGCAGTGAACCCCGCACGTTCCTCATAAGCCAGCAAAGGAGCTGCTTACCCAGCCGAAGAACACTTCCAGGAGATTATGGAATTGGGTAGTTTAAGTGAAGAACGTGTTTCAAGAAAGTTTCTGTCACTGAACACAGTGCTCAACCGTGGAGTGATGCTGAGAGCTTGAGGAGGCTGGAGACATGGAAGTAACCGTTGACCTTAGCGACATAGAGTTGACAAGGAAGGACCAGCCCTGATGGCCTATTGGTTAGAGTTTGGTGATCTCTACTTTGGCAGCCCGGGCTCCATTCCGGGGCATGGGACCACACCACTCGTCTGTCAGTAGCCATGCCGTGGTGGCGTGGAGAACTAGAAGTGGTTCTTCTAGGAGAACTAGAAGGACTTACAACTAGATTATACAACTATACACTGGGGCTTTGGGGAGGGGGGAAAAAAAAAAGGAAGATTGGCAACAGATGTTAGCTCAGCACAAATCCTTCCCTGCCAAAAAAAAAAAAAAAGATAAGGAAGAAGAAAGAGACGGTACTTGGTAAAATAAGGAAAGTAATTAGTGTTCAGATTGTTGTGAGAATTAAATGTTACAACCAATATAGAAAGTATGGTACATGATAGGCATTTATATCATAGATCACTTATCTTGCATAGTTCAACATATTTCGTGACATTCTGATGTCATAAGAAGTCTTATAACCATCAACTGAAAGAAAATTGCTTGAATTTTAATTAAGAATTGTAAAACAATTAAGAATTAAGAAACAGGGCCGGCCCCGTGGCTTAGTGGTTAAGTGCGTGCGCTCTGCTGCTGGCGGCCCGGGTTCGGATCCCGGGCGCGCACTGACACACCGCTTCTCCGGCCACGCTGAGGCCGTGTCCCACATACAGCAACTAGAAGAATGTGCAGCTATGACATACAACTATCTACTGGGGATTTGGGGGGAAAAAATAAATAAATAAAATCTTTAAAAAAAAAAAAAAAAAGAATTAAGAAACAGTATCCACATAAATGCTTAGGTGTTGACAGAACTTTTGTTACCACACCTTGTC